GCTAAAGGGAAGAGCCACTGGCATGTGAGTGTAGAGAGCCCTAGCCTCTCTCTTAGACAGGACTCATCCAGTCCAGATGACTGTTTCCCTTGAAGCACAGGATTGTTTATCACAAGTCCCAGATGAAGAAGCAGGGGCTCTCCCCTGTGCTCAGCTTCTCTCCTGCAGACCTGTAGCCTTAGGGTAGAAGAGCTGGTTGGGAGAGCTACACAGGGTCTTAAAAAGTGAGTAGCAGGTTGCCAGTAGCATCACTGCCCAAAGGCACGAGGTGTGGTGGAGTCAGAGACCTTGGTGCCACATTGTGACAGCGATGGCATCATGGCCAGGGCAGCTCGGGGTGCCAGCAGGGCTGGGGCTGCACTGGGGTGCCGGGGAAGCACAAACACAGGCCAGCTGGGAGCCCAAATCAGCAGCACATGGACTCAGTCACCCGCCTCTGGTTGTGAAATCAGGGGAATGTTTTCAGCGCAGAGCGAGCCGCTACCAAACCATGAACTGCTGGTTCTCCTGCGCCAGCCAGCTGCTGCCATTTGGCAGCCAACTGAGTTCCCACTCCTTGATCTTGCAGTCACACTGAACTGTCTCAGTCCTGTCCAGAGCTGGAGTGATGTGCCCAGGGTCAGCCCGGGAGGAGAGCACAGGCAGCTCTGCCTGGACCCCCTGCCCAGTGCCCGTGGGTCAGACCCCAAGTCTGGGTGAGGTGGCAGAGCTGGCAGCACCTGCACCCGCAGGAGAGAAAGTCTCACTGCAGAGTGAAACTCTGCTACGTTGTAAGATACCTAATGAACATTTTAAGAGGCATCAGTCAAAACTCAAGGCCAGGGATTGTCCGGCACGGGGTCACTCCAGCGGTGGGACAGGAGCAGCCTTGTTGCCCAGGGTGCCCATGCCACCCCTCGGCCCCACTCACCCTTCGGGCACAGCCACAGAGCAGGATCTATTTATAGGGCATCCAGCCCCTGTAAAACTCAGTTTATAGGGAAGTAAAAGGAGTCACACATCGTTACTTTGCATGGCAACGTGTAAATTGCCAGGCGGGCGCTGACCTTCCCTCTCAAGGAGGCACAGAAAGGAAAAGGTGTGGGAGGGATGGGGGAGCAAGGGAAGGGAAAACTGGGGGGAGAAGGCAACCAGTGGTGGAGAGAGGAAGGCAATGACAGAAGTGAAGAGCAACCTTGGTCTCCTGTGGTTTTTTTTCCCAAGTTTTCCAGCCCAGGTACAGTTAAGACCAAGACTGGCAGCTCAGCATTAAGGTCAGTGGCCTGGGAAGGTGTTTTCTTGTCGGCGAGCGCCTGTTCCCGAGGTCCTGGCTGTGCCTGGGAGCTGGGATCGGCAAAGCACCTCCAGATTCAATAATAAACAGTCAACAAGAATCACTGCTGCTCCACCAAAAAAAAACAGCTTAGCAATGTTCGGCAGTGGGTGAGACGATTAAAGATTAACCCCCTGCCTCCTGCCTCCACCCCTCTGGGGAGTATAGGCCTTGAGGCTCAGCAAATCCTTTCAGAGAAAAATCTGAAATAAAAGACAACAGCTAGGGGACGCAGCGAAGGGAGAGGGAGGCAGCAGGGCCAACAGCCTGGGACAGGGGAATCGGCAGGACCCGGCCCGTGCTGCGGCGATAATGCGCCTCTCCAAAGCCCTGCTGGACATGGAGATGGCAGATTACAGCGCGGCGCTGGACCCGGCCTACACCACCCTGGAGTTTGAGAACATGCAGGTGCTGGCCATGGGCAACGGTGAGTCCCCTCCACCGTGCTGGGATGAGCTGGGGGCTGCCGGAGGAGAAGTCCCTGGGGCGGCCACCGAAGCGGTGCCGGGAGGGCTGGGGCACGGTGTGGGGGTCAGCCGGGGGGCTCCCAGAAACTCACGGCCGGGTTTCTGCGTTCCCCGGGGAGGAACGGGGGGGTGGTGCAGTGCTGTGCTCGGCGCAGGCAGGATGGTGCCCTGCAGCCCAGACACCTCGGGGACGGGCACATGCTGGGTGCAACGAGAGGTCCCCACTAGACATAGAGCGCAGGGTGGGGGCTGAGCACAGGGCGGGTCTCACCTCCTCCAGACCCCGACCAAGAGGAAAGACTAGCCAGAGATTTCCGAGTGGAACGCTGCTGAGGCTCCCTGGACAGGGCAGACCAGTCCTACGCCAGCGAGGTGTTCACGGCCACTTAGCACCCGGACAGGGTGGGAATCACCAGAAAAGTGATTCAGGAGTTGCCCCCACAGCTGCCCCCAGGCCATGGCCCTTCCCTGCTCAGTGCTTGGGTGCAGGGTGGCATCCCCTGCCCTGGGAGCACCACAGGGCCCACTTGCCCAGGCTCAGCCCCAAGGAAGAGGGACAAGGGGACCTGGAGAGGTCCCCCAGGAGGGCAGGATCACACTTAGCTCACTAGGGTTCCCAACATTGGCTCTCTCCTTTGGGGACCAAGGAGCCTGGTGATTAAATCAGAGATAACAGGAGATTCCTCTGCAAGTCCCCCTAAAGTCTCTCTAAATACGAGCCCAAAAAGTACACTGCAGCAAGCAAACCCCAAGCCCCGTCCTCCCGCCTGCTGCGTCCCTGAGGCTGCCAGGGCACCCCTGTCCTGACAGCCCCTCTGGATCTTCCCCAGGTTATGGCTCTGCTCTGTCACAGACGTGACATGGCGGTGCCATAACGGCTGAGCCCCTGTCACCCTGGGGCTCAGCCCCTTCTCTGCTCCCCAGGGCTGGTCCTACCCACCCAGTGCCCAGAGCAGCTCCCTCCGGCTCTGCCAATGCCCATCTGGACCCTCCAGGACAAACCCAGGTCTTGCTCCCTCTCCATGCCCCTCTCCCACCCAGCATTCTTTAGCTTGGAGGCTACAACTGAGCCCACCCTGCACCAAGGGCCTCACAAGGCAGAGGGACACAACAATTTTATATGACAAAATCAGGTGCTCTATGAAATACGCCCTAGGGGTGGGTGAGTCAGCTGGGTCAGGTGGCACCAACACCTCTCCTCCTCCTCTGCTCAGTCCCAGACCAGGGCAGGTCTCACCTCCAGGGCTGCTTTAGCACTCCAGCAACCGCCCACACCTCTGTCTGCAAAACCTCCACCTCCCTTTCTGGCTGAGGACTGCAGGAGAGCTCGGCCCCTGTCCTGCACAGCTCTGCAGCTCCAGCCCAGAGCTGGATGGACCAAAACCATCCCATGCTCAGACAGCTCCTCCCGAGGAGCTCCTGTCCTAACACAGGTCTCAGCTGTGAGGTCTCAAAGTCAGATATTTTCTTTCCTCCATTTACCTTAACTCCAAATCAATCTCATTAAAACCACTTCACAGCAGCAGCCAGAAGCCCACATTTCTCATGCTACAAAATAAACTTAACTGGAAAATTATCCATTAGGCAATAATTTAATTGTTGGTTGGCTATTGGGCTAAGATGTTGTAATTTCTTGATAATGCTGCCAGTTTTTCCTGTTCAATGTTCACCTGATTACAGCATGATATACTACTAAAAAGGGATTTATCTGGGCTGTCACAGATACCAAGTAATGTGATTACAGGCAGATCAGCTCTGTCCATTATTTAGCTGAAACTAGAAACCTAACTTTTCTTCTGGAATTACCTTGATCCAGCTGAGCCCTCAGGATGTGTTGAGAGGAAGGATATCTTCAGAGGCTAGCTGCTGACAGAGACAAGAGACAGCCAGAACAGGCTTGGGAGGAGCTCAGGGCTTTGGGTGTGGAGAGAAGAGCTTTGCACACACGGAAATGCTGTTCTGTGCCAGGGTGTGCCAGGCAGGGACCCAGAGAGGCAGCAAACTGACTCGGGAAGAAATACAGGACACAAGAAACTAGGCAGAGAAGTGAAAAGAGCTGCCAGGGGCAGGGAAGGGGCTAGTTTGAGATCTCCTGTGCTAGCTCGCTGCTGGATCCACACCAGTCACTCCTGCTGAGGGACAGCACAGGCAGGCTGCGCAGTGGCTCCTGCAATACACCTTTCTCCACAAAGCAAAAGCTAAAATTGTAGCCCTGCCCTGGGCAGCACTGCCTTAGCCTCCCCCAGCACCCATGCTCCAGCTACTGAATGAGACCTGCTGGGATCAGCCTCTTCATAGCACCCAGCACTTTCTGCTGGGTGGCAAGTGGGAGCAGCTGTGGCCCTTCCAGTGTGAGAGTTAACTGTGTCCCTGCCAAAAACAGACACCAGGCACCAAAAACAGACTCAGGTATTAAAATCCCAGCAGGTATCTGTGGCTATGTAGATCCTGGGTATCATTTGCAAGCAGGATTCCCACTGAGGCAGGGGAACGTGCCTGTGCTGATACAGGAAAACGTACAAGGGAGGGGACAATCGGAGCAACTGAGTTAAGGGCTGATCCCTTCAGCCTTGAGGTTTATTTGGCTTGCTGAAGGGGTTTTAGTGTAGGGATTGTATGGTTTTGAGCCTTTCAGATGTGCTTTCTGACAGAGGCTGCTGCAATTCTCCATCCTTCCAAGACAGCCCTGCAAGTGCCAGCTCCCCTCGGTCTGTAAGGACTTTAAGGTGCACCAGTTTCAGCTGTGGTGTGACCAGCCTCTGGAAGACACCCAGCATACAGCCTCCTCCATGCTACAGCATCACCCTTTCTTTCTGGGTTAGCCTGATCAGTCCTTTCTTGCACGGGTAGTGTTTGCCCACAAGAGTTTTTCAGATGAAGTCATTTGAGTTATGCACTTAAAGTCTTGCTCTCCTGAAGAACCGCTGTGCAGGCTGGAGCTCCATGCCTGGCAGAGAGGCTCTCCAGCAAAGGGAGCTGGTCATCTCTAATAGCATCTTTTGTTGGTATAACACAAACATTTCTCTAATAAATCAGCTGCCCACCCTGAGCTTTAATATCTCAGCTTTTACTCTGCACCAGCTTCTTCTCTGGCCATGCTACTGCAGCCCAAAGCGTCTGCAAATCCCTGTGGAATTTTGACTCTATTCCATGACTCCTGCAAATGGGTTTCCACTTTGTCTGAAGGCATTGCTGGAGTCAGGTCTTTGGGAAGAGCTGTCTCACCCTGGCACACAGGGAGCTTTTGCACACTCCAAATGCAGTGAATTAAGACACTTGGATCCACCACTCCTTACACACCTCTCTGGCACACAACCTGGCCGGTTCCTCCAAAACACAAGTATCTCACTGGAAAATGAGTTCAGCAATGTTTGCTGTCTGCCTCACTGCCTTTTCCTTCCTGTGTGCTTCCCCAAGCAGACACGTCTCCATCGGAAGCAGCCAACCTGAACACGTCCAGCAGCATGGGGGTGAGTGCGCTGTGTGCCATCTGCGGGGACCGCGCCACGGGGAAGCACTACGGGGCCTCCAGCTGCGATGGCTGCAAAGGCTTCTTCAGGAGGAGCGTCCGCAAGAACCACATGTACTCCTGCAGGTACAGACAGAGGGGACAGGGTCCCCTGCCTCAGACCAAACAGTCCCCAGGAGCTGAACGGCAAAGCCCTCAAAGCGCAACAGCACTGTCCTTCATCCTCTTCATCCTCCCTGCGTCCTCTGCACCCTCCCTGACCCCACCCTCCAGCTGGGAAGGGTCAGAGACCACCCTCGTTCTGGGATTGCCCTCCAGTGACCACCAGGGAAAGACCCTGGGAGGTCTTGCCCCACTCCTTAGGGGCCCAGCACGTCTTCTTGCAAACAGATATGGCCACCCATGGCTGCGGCCAGCGAGTGTGGTGGTGCTGGTGGGGCAGCCCTGTCACAGGGCTGAGCACCTTGCCGCTCAGTGCTGAGTGCAGCACAACCCCCACTCACTCCCTGGGGGCACGTCAGTGGCCTCTCACCCCTTCCCATCACAAGATGGAATCATGTCTGCCATCTGGCTAAAATGCCACCACTGCCTGTGACATGGCACAAGGGCATCTAAGGAGTGAGGAGCTGGGCAGTGCAGCGTGCACGCCACTGAGGGTGAGGCACCCAGGTTGCTCCTGCAACTCATGCACTGCACCTTCTACTGTTGGTGGTAGCCCACGACTCTCCCATGCCACCAGTGGCTGTGACCACCCTGCTCCCTGCTCTGAGCCAGGATTGTCACAGAAGAACTTGAGGAATCCTCAGCTCAGAGGGTCTAAACCACTCAGGCTTTTTCAATGAGTTACTCCTGATGGCTTGACAGCCACTTGAAGAGTGTGAAGAACAACATCACTCTAAAATCTGTGTGACAGAAAGAAGCCCTGGGTTTATGAGTCCATGTGAAGCTCTTTATTACTTGCACCCCCGAGGTACATAAGCTGGCTGCCCATGGAGCCCCCTCCCTGCAGCTCCCCTGGAAAAGCCAAGGTGCCCAATTCTCTGGAGACTAGGGCTTTTATATACATGCTACTAAATGCTTAAAAAGCTGCTTTCAGGCATCCATTTGGGGAAGTCTTAGGTTGGGGTTTTAAAAAGCATGGTAGAAATGAACCTTTTCAGAAGCCACAGAACCCGGCATGGCTGGGAGCCCTCTCCCAGATCTGTACACCTTTGTCTTTACTTTGCAAGCTTGATCAATCCACAGTAAATTAGAGCAAATTTGCAAGTGAAATTCATGCTGCCCGTGGGCACCAGGCTTGTGCTATCTGCAAGGGCCACACACATGGGAGATCAGTGTTTGTCTCGCCACGTGCAATGGATTTGGTGATACAAGTGCAGAGAGAAGGAGCTGGTTGCTTCCCAAGTCCTCTCCAAAGTGCAGGTGGCTGCACACCAGTGATGCTGTCCAGGGGTCAGAACCAGCCTGCCTGGATCCCAAACACAGTCCTGGAGAGATGCAGGGACTTAAAGCTGCTACCTAACCTTACTAGCTCAAGAATAATCTTCTGCCCTTTTTTCATTCAGCATAAATGCATTCTTCCTCCCTTCTAACTGGGATCTAACTTACAAAAGAGGCTACCAAGTTGGTTCTGACTCTCCTGGCTCACACCCTTAACCTCATTTGGGCTGGTTAGTCCAGCATAAGTGTCCTGTGCCTAGTGGTCAGTGAGCAGGCCCAGCAGCCTGAGCTCCTGCGTGCCACTGTAAGCTGTAGCCCACCCTTACTGAACATCCAGAGGTAGAGCACTGAGATGTTCAATGCAGAGAAGAAGCTCCAGGTTAAAGCAAATGTGGGAATGGCACAGACCAGGGCTCCTTCCTTAGGATGAGCCTCTGTAAGCTCTGTCTTGCTGCCTTCAGGCTCAGTCTCGCTGCTCCTCACACCTCTCTTTCTTCCCAGGTTTAACAGGCAGTGCGTGGTAGACAAAGACAAAAGAAACCAGTGCCGGTACTGCAGGCTTAAGAAGTGCTTCCGAGAAGGAATGAAGAAGGAAGGTGGGTGATGCTGTGGCCTCCCTGTGCCTCCCCCAGCAGCAGTCACACTGGCTGCACATGTTTGGGGAAGCCCAAGGCCAGTACACACTTGGCCAGACATTTCAGCCCCATGTTCCACAGTGCTCTCCTGTGCACAGGTCCAGACCCCCACCACAGGAGGGTTTAGGGAGAGTTTTGGCCCCCAGTCACGAGCCCTGCTTGTCCCCAGCCTGCTCACTCCCACCCATGTGAAGTCCTTGCAAGCAGCCATCATCCCAGGAGTGGAGGGCAAGGCACTGGGCTCCTGTATGCTCCCAAACTCAACGCCAAAGCCCCTTCTCAGGGCACCTCTCAAAATGCAAGCAAAGACAAGCCCACAAGAGTGTGGTGGGGCCACGCTTGTGTCTCAGAAGTGCCCATATTTGTGCACACAAATCACAGCCAGGCCTCTCCAGCTCACTCTGGCACACACTCACACTCACACCCCACCTGCACTCCCACTGATGGCACAGCCCAGAGGTCTGGGAACACTTCTCAACAGCAGCGAGAAACAGAAACTTCAAAGAAGGCCTGGGAATTTGGAAACACTTTGGGAAAACTGCTCTCAGTGCTGTTGTCCCAGAGTTACCATGAAATCCACAGCTGGGAGGGTGAGTCCAGCAAAGATTGTAATTCTGCCCATTTTCCTGACATGTATATAGATTCTTGCTGACTCTCTGCAGAGAGGTTAGTTTATTTGATATATCAGACACAGCAAGAAGGACCAAGAACAAGGTGAAGCATTTTAGCTGTTTAACTCCATATGAAACAAGTAGATATCCACCTCACTATTTCCCTGCCTCTCTGCCTCTGCAGCCCCTTCAGGTCCCCATGACTCAGACACAACAGGACATGATCCACCCCTTGTTTAACCCTGCTTAGTTCTCTGGAGTACTCACAGTGGCAAAGAAACCTAGGCTGCTTTGTGCCTTCTGGTGGCTCTGCTGGTGATCCTGCTGGTGAAAGGACAAACTGACAAGAGCAGCCCAGAGAAGCTGCCTGGCACCCTGTAGAGCTCACAGCATTAATGTCTGCAAAGACACAACAGGGAGGCATTTGGCCCTGTTGTTCCACGTAAAGAAATTAAACACTGTGTTCACCCAAGTTCACACCTCCTCAAGGAGAAACTTGGGAGAAAAAGGGTCCTTGAAGACAACAGGGAAGCACAAGCAGTACCTGAGTGGTTTCCCCAGAAACACCAGCCTGTGGGAACACCTCTGAGCAGGAACACTTCTTCCCTTTTAAAGAGGATGAGGTATTGCAAGGAATTGGCTTGACATTTCCTGAAGAACATAGGAATCCTCCTCTCCCTGCAGTGCTCGCTCATCCCATGCCCAGAGCTCTGCTGCTGTCTGTTAATATTCAATAGAAGTTACATTAGGTGCATGACCAGCTAATACTGAGCAAACATTTGGAAAACATCATGGCGTGACTGAACTCGGGGCCTGCTGCTGATAACAAGCAGCATAACCTTGAGAGCTCCTATTTACAGCCGCTGACTGCAGGGCTTTTCCTCTGCCTCAGCCTCATTATTGCTTTTTATCAGGTGGATTCATACATTGAGAACGTATCAATCCAGAGAGCCACCAGCCTAAGGCAGTGACTGTTCTGTTTCCCCTGCCACTGATCAATACCTCATTTGAGCAGATGGCTTTGCCTGGAGTGGCCGTGGGGAGTTACAGCCAGCCCACGGCCTCGTGGCCGATAGAGAGGCAAATCCTCCCCCTCAGCACCACTGCTTCTGCTCTGCCTGCTACCACCTCTGGACTCAAAGGCCAGTTCCTTCTCAAGACTAGACCAAGCAAGGAGGCATGTAGGGGTCAAACCTGTCCTGGGACTCTCTTTATGATAAGGTACGAGAGAGCTCTGTTGCTCTGGATAGATAAGTAGGGGCTGTTCTGCACTTCCTTCCTTATTGTAGCTAGAAGGAAGTTTTCCAACTGCACCTATCCAGTGCAAGAGCTTCCCGGAGCTCACAGAAGTCATGTGGACAGACAAAGAAGCCATGCAGATACTTGACTCCTCCATTTCACACATAAGCTTTGGGCCGCATGCATGAGCACGGCCATAATTTCCCTGTATCTCAAAATTAAAAAATTTAAAAGTCAGATCCTTTGGAAGGAAACTTTCCTACTGAACTGTCCAGGCTCTGAACCAGGTACCCGGGTTTAGAAACGACCCCATCCCAGGAAAGCACAGTAAAGCAAATGTGCCACCAGAACCCCCAGATGCAGTCAGCTCTCCTAGGCGTCCTGTCACAAACCAGACACGGCTGCACCTCCACCCTGCCAGGCAGGGAAGCTGGGAAACTGCAGCAAAGGAAGGGGAATGCCAGAAGTCTGTGCTAGATTTTGGTGTGCATTGCCATGAACGACCTGCAGCTCAGCCAAAAATCTCTCTTTCAGCTGTCCAGAATGAACGGGACCGAATCAGCACCCGGCGATCAAGTTACGAAGACAGCAGCTTGCCCTCCATCAATGTCCTACTGCAGGCAGAAGTCCTGGCACAACAGGTACCTCTTCTTCCTTCTCTGGCAAATACAAAAGCATCAGGCACTATCTGGCCAGTAGAACCAGCTGAGTATTTCATAGCTGCGTCTTCAAATAACCACAGTTTTTCTAAGTGACTTATCTGCCAGCTCAACACAGGTCTTTCAAAAGCATTTGTTACCTGAAACCATTCCCTTAATGCTCCTTGGTCCAGGACTCAGTTGTAATAATAAGCAATAATCTGTTCTGCTTTGATGGGACACATGAAGGCTGGAGAGCCTGCTGGAAGAGGACAGGGTGGAATCATTGAAATCCAAGGAGCTGTGGCTGTCTAAGGCAGCTGAAGGGCTGGGCTTGCAGGAGCAGCCTCCCTTCCCCGTCGGCTCTTTGGAACTCAAGATTCTGGCTTCCTGCAGAGTTTCACCAGGAATCAGTTTCATGCTTGTTTGATGCAGATATTATGCTTGAAATTCCCCATTCCCACAAGCATACTGCACACTTCTAGAGCGTTCACCTGAAAAGACAACTCTGATTGAAGAATCTGGATATTGCAAGCAGTGTGTGTCAAATCAGCACTGTCTGGGGGGGTCAAAGGACAGCACAGGAGCTGCAGGGAGGCTTTGTCTGTGAGAAAGGAGATGAGGATGAGGCTGTGCTGGAGGCAGGAGCTGCCATCCTTCATGGGACCTGCAGAGCAGCACTGCTTGTCCCAGTGAAAATGAAGAGGAGATTGAGTTGGCAGTCCAAGTTCTTCCTTTCTCCAAGGGTCATATTATCCAGAAGGCTGCTCTGGGAGATGCTCCAGGGCAGGATGTGCCTTGGTCTGGGCTCCACGCTGAGGCTCAGCCTGTAAGGTCCACATCCCTGAGGAGGGGATATGCCAGAAGGGCCAAGGGCCAGTCCTGCATACAAGCAGCGTATCCCATCTCACCCAGTGTCTCACCTTGTCCTACACAGGCCTGAATGTGTTTATACACCCTACAATAATAATATTGGTGCTGCTCCCAGAGGAGTGAGATAACCAAGACTCAATTCACTAGATCTACCAGGGAAAGACATTTCCAGGACTCTGAGTCCTGCAGTGGCACCATTTGTAAGCCTGGAGCAAGGTCTGATGATAAAAACTACAACCACAGGCAAATCCAGGGGAGCTCCTGCTCCCCCACAGGGAGACTCATTAAACAAGGCAGGCTCCAGTATGGTAATTGGTAACTTTTATGTGCCTCGCTAATTAGAACAAGATACTGCTGAGGAGCTCTTTCTCCAAGATCTCAGGTCACTCACTCAGAGGTCTTTATTTATTTGCTAAGCCTTCCGGACTCTCTGATTAGGGTAATACATGGTGAGATTTTTACAATCTTATTTATTCAATACTAGCTCAAGAGCTGGAAAGATTCCAGGTAATGCAACCTGAAAAAAAAAAAAATGCAGGTGGGATTTGAATAGCATTTCCCTGGGGAGGCTGGCAGGGTCCGAGCTGGAAGCACTGGCAGGGGAGGACAGGAAGGGCTGCTGCTGGACCGGAGCACGGAGGGCGGGCGGCGGGCGGCGGCCCCGCTCAGCTCACTGCCTACAGAGGCACGAGGATAAAGCAGTGACTAAGGGCAGCTCCCCAGATGAGCTGAGTGAGCAGCTATGCATGAGAAGCGGGCGGGAGGTTGGGTGCCTGGTTTGGGGAGATGTTCTTCCTGGCTCTGTGTGACGACACTTGCAGAGTTGTCAGGCTTGTCCTTTGCAAACGAAAGGGCCCCGTTTGCCTCTGCAATCACAAATAAATCGCCAGGCAAAGAACGTGACCTGTGCTGAGGGCACGTTGGCACGTGCACACTTTTGCCAAAAGGGCTCAAAAGCTGAGGGGAGGTGGGAGGTTGTTGTCTTCAAAGTCTGTCTTTAGCATTTAAAATTGGGCAAGGTCAAATATTAATGACCTGGTGCTCACAGAAAGCAATGTCAGACCTGGAAAGCTGCCTTCAGCAGAGACTTCTTGTGCCCGTGCTGACTCAGACAGAAGTAGAGCCTGCGTGTCTCCTGCCAAAAACAGACAAGGCAGCTCTGGCTGAGCACTGGCTCTGCAGCGGGGTGGAAGGATAGTTCTCTGCCCTTTGGTGGGACCAAGCAGCTTAAGCAGCAGCACTGGGTGCATATGTCCTTACTACTGGTGACCACCACATGAGCCCCTCTGTTCCCTCTTGGATCATGACTGAGCACACTGATTCAGCAGTAGGAAGATTTTGGCTTTAGAAACATTGTTCCTGTGCTTTACAGTCTATTCAAGGCATGACAGTTTACCAAGATGATCCACAGCCTCAGCTCTGAAGCATTTTATGTTCACAGATCCCCAGTTTGAAATGAGCTGTGCTGGGCCACATATTCTGGGAGCTGGATGTGCAACGGAGAAAAGTAACCATGCTGGAGTCCACCTCAACACAAAACCCATGGGCTGGGGATTTTCCTGTCTACGTTTCCTCTGGGGCACTGAAAGCTGAAGGATCCCTTTCCTCCTTCCAGATATCATCCCAAATTCCTGTGATGAATGGAGACGTCCGAGGGAAGAAGATTGCCAACATCTCAGACGTCTGTGAATCCATGAAGCAGCAGCTGCTGGTGCTGGTGGAGTGGGCCAAGTACATCCCTGCCTTCTGCGAGCTGCCCCTGGATGACCAGGCAAGTCCCCCATCCACCCCACCTCTCTCTGCCCTGCCAAAGGCAGCGGGGAGCCGAAGCAGAGCCAGGCAGCAGAGACCTTCAAAGAAAAGCTGCATTGTCTGCTCTGTTATCCTGCCTGCTGCGGCTGATTGGGAACAGCATCCATACAATGCCAGCACAGGCCATTTGCATGGGCAGCTGATCAGCCAGGGAGCACAGGCACGATAACACTGAGCTCAAACTAGGTACCTAATCACTGCCTACTTTGCATGGGTCTATCACTCAATTATTTATTAGAGTTTATGCAGCCCTTTGAAAATCTGAAGTGCCATACAAATTCTCAGGGTAAGCAGACTTGGCAGAACAGATTTCTAGCCTAAGGTGAAGGCTCAAAACCAGCCTGTCTACCTTTCTTTCTGCTTCTTGCCTGCAGACGTTTGTATCCATTCTCCTAGTGGGGAATTATTGAAACTAAACACTAGTTTGTTCCTAAGGCAAAAAGAACATCTCTCTTCAGGGTTAAAAGCCAGAAATATATTTGCATTTAACACCAATTACTACAATGACATTTGCTGATTCCCTAACCAAGATAAGAGGTTTGGTATCCTCTACAAAACTGCACTGCAGGATCTCAGGCAGCCTCAAAGTGATAGGTCTCCTGTGACCAAGAAGAGGTCTCCCATCTAAGTCTAAATGTCAAAGGGCAGCAGCAGATGTTGCGGGACATGATGTGTGCCTGGCCTTGAAGAGCATGTGTGGGTGGTGGGGAGGCTCCAGAGGGAAGGGGTAGCACTTGTGGCAGTGGCCAGCACAGGTCCTGTCACAGGTAGGAGGCATTTCCAATCTGCCCCGTGTACAGTCACAAAACCAGCGTGTGTTCATTCACTTCAGCTAGGATCAGCCTCCAGCCCTGCTGACCTAGAGGTGATTTTTAGATCATGAAGAAAAAGGATATCCAGAAAGTGAAAGTATCCAGCTGATCAAAACCCCCTAAATCCTAAATCTGAGCTCTTCACTAATCACCCAGCAGCAGAGCCCCAGAGAACTCAGTGCTGCTAACACAGGAGAGTATTTCTCTCTTTTCTATCATGTGTAAGTGCTAAACTGTTTTAAATGGTGAGAAATCTGCTAAACTCCTAAGGAAAATACAACTCAAAAATTATGAAAACCAAAATGGACTCCAAAGACAAATGACATTCACACAGCAAGCAGGCTGCAGCCCAGCAGAGGCTTGGGCAACTCTGCATGACCCATTCCATCCTTGTGCCATTTGGAAGAGAGGCAAAAAAACCTGGTTAGTGCCTCTGCAAGCTGAAGCTATGTCTACATGAGCTTGTCTTACAATTAGGGGGCTGCAAAATTTCTAAGAAGAAAAAAATGCCAAAAGATGGTGTTGTCTGCACTCTGCCTTCCCACATGGGACAGGCTGCTGCCAGCCTGCTCCACAGGCTCCTCTCAGCTGACTCTGGTCTGCTGTGACCAGTCACCCCCCACCATGAGAAGTTCTCAATCTGTCCCAGAGGACTTGAGAGGAAAGACTGTGCTGCACTAAAACTAATCAATTAATGGCACCCATTCTTTTGAAGGGTGGTGTAAGGTCAGAGGCAGCAGATACTCACGGGAGTGCAGGAGGAAGGATGGAAATGCCAAGGGGCAGGAGTGAACAAAACTATGTGCAAGGCAGCTGCTCAAGGGGCATATAAGGGCCAGTCAAGACATGTCCAGTGGGAACACTTCATGCTGGGAAGCCTGTTGCATTGCCATTAAAATGCTGCCCGAGATGGAATCATCCCTGCCAACATTTTTATAGAAAGGTCATACTCAACCCCTCAGTCTTCCTCTGCACGAAAATGTCAAAGTACTGGGTTTGGTGAGGCCAAGCCATTCTAAAGTTAAAAGTTTTACTTTGTTACATTACAACTTCTATATTTATCCTAGTTCACAATGGAATGATGTGTCTCAGGTTGATCACTGCAAGAACAAATATCAAATGAGATAATTTTGCCTTCTTGAAGTAATTTAACCCTGCTTAAAGAAGCAAACTTTATTGAAAACAAAAATGCTGATTCCAAACTGATCTTTCTTGAATTTGCATTAGGCAGGAAATGTCTATGTGAGGGTCTTCCTTGGGACCCACAGATTTTCCTTCTCAAAGTTTCATCAGATAGGAAAGCTGTTCTGTGCAGCTCTGGTACGTGCCAGCAGCTCAGCTAACACATCTGCCCCTGCTTGGATAGCGACAGAGAGAGGCTAGATTTTGGACAGTGATAAAGGTTCCCCAGCATCTTGTGTGTGTAGTTCTTTTGCAAGGATCTCCACTCTGTTTTCCACACTCTCTTTCACCATCTAAAAAAAAAAAAAATCCCTTTCTCAGACATCAGCATGTTTTCTAATCAGAGCTCTCTTCTATGGGTGACACATGCTCCTGGCATTTCTGGTAGGGTAAGAGTTCTGCCTTTGTCAGACGCTGAGGGATAATGCACTGCAGAAAGGGGCCGTTCCCATCAGGACACACTTTTCAGAATCTCTCAATTAATGTTTAATGATTGTTTTCTCCAGCAGAGGATCCTGGCTGGACATTAAGAAGCCTCTGTGTCAGGCTGTCGAATCGTTAACTTCTGTTTCTGCCTAAATCTCTGAAATTTTTAACTGAAGGAGGGCAAAAGATTCAGAACATTCTCAGGAGCCACTGGAGGGTGTAAAATGAAACACTTCAATCATTAACATCAGGGCAGAAAAACATCCCTTTGGCTTCCCTGGCCCAAATGCCCATTGCTGTGGAGGGGATGAATGGCCAGAGGGTGACCCCAGCAGCCAGGTGGTCGTGGGTGCCCATGAGCACGATCCCAGTGGGAGGTGGGCACGGCCCAGAGGGACAGCAGCTGTCCACAGCAGCAGATCCTGCTTCTCCCCACCTCCCACCTGCAGCATGGGCCCTGGTTCTGCACCTGGCAGGAGTTGTCTCATCTGGGAACAGCCCATTGTGAAGACATCCCACTGCTGGTGGGAGGTCCCAGGACAGTCCAGCATGGTGCTGCTCCTGACACGTGCCGTGTTTCTGCATCACCCACATAACTGTGGTTTGCCTTTGCAGGTAGCCCTGCTGCGAGCACACGCAGGGGAACATCTGCTGCTGGGAGCTGCCAAGAGGTCCATGGTGTTCAAGGATGTCTTGCTGCTAGGTAAAGAGTGCACTTCTGCTCCTGGCCCATCTGCTTCTGCAAAGCTTTCCTGCTGGGGGGAAGGAGAGGGTGGTCCAGTGTTTGCAGGCATCCTTTTTGCAAGGTAGTGGTGCAGCTGTTCTGTGTTTCAGCAAGCCTAGCACAACCTTTGGGTTCAGCTAGGCCTGTCTGACATTCACATCATGGCCACAACATGTGGCGAAGTTAGGGGACTGTGAGCATTCACATTGTCCCCCCAGGTTTGTGTAAGCAGGCTGTGGTGTGACTGGGAAAAAGGGTCTCGCTTCTCAGTCAGCTTCTCCTCACTAGAGTGACTCCTGTGTAGGGAGAGGCTGCTTTGGCAACACAGATCAGTTTTTCTGGCAGGCTGAGCCAGGGAAGGGGCAGAAGGAACGACTTCTTAAGTCCCCCATCCTTAAAAGTGTCTCAGCATTGGCTACTTGGGTTTTGAACTCCTTGCTACCCTTGGCAAGTCTTGGGCAGTGACAAGGTGATGGTCTCTGTGCTGCTGTCCAAAGGAAACGACCACATCATCCCACGGAACTGCCCTGAGCTGGTGGAGGTGAACCGTGTGGCCATCCGCATCCTGGACGAGCTGGTCCTCCCCTTCCAGGAGCTGCAGATAGATGACAATGAATACGCCTGCTTGAAAGCCATCATCTTCTTCGACCCAGGTATGCTCCAGCTTGGTGAGGGTTGGCATCAGAGGGGACTGGTCTGGGTGATGCTGACTACTACTGGTCCGGAGTTGTGGAAGTGCTGCCTGGTCTCCTCCCTGGGCCAAACTGTTCTTAGAGGGAAGGGACAAGTCAGCCTAAGAGGAGAAAAAACGTCCCTTTCAGCAGACAACAGACACCCAGAGACAGCTCCCCTCAGCCTGCGCCCAGAATTCGTGCCTCTCCTGAGGGGCAGCTGCTGTGGCAGCAGCCTGGACAGCTTGCCCTGTGGGTTGTTTCAGATGCCAAAGGGCTGAGCGACCCCTCCAAGATCAAGCGGATGCGGTACCAGGTGCAGGTCAGCCTGGAGGACTACATCAACGACCGGCAGTACGACTCGCGGGGCCGCTTCGGGGAGCTGCTGCTGCTCCTGCCCGTCCTGCAGAGCATCACCTGGCAGATGATCGAGCAGATCCAGTTCGTCAAGCTCTTCGGCATGGCTAAGATTGACAACCTGCTGCAGGAGATGCTGCTGGGAGGTGAGTACTTGAGGGTCCTGCAAGACACCTCGCAGCGCTCCCTGATCACTGGTCCCTCCAGAACCCCCACAGCTGTTGTTGCCTGTGTGAAAAAGGCAGGGACAGGCTCTGTGAAGGTCAGCCCTTGACTCACACATCATCATCTCCCCCTACCATTGACAGAGGTAACAAAGGTTCCTCTGTTTCTACTCGCCTGAAGAGATGGGTTAGCTGTGCATCTGTTTATGGAGAAGTGCCCCCAGCCCTCTGCACACAGGCAAGCTTTGCTGTGCAAGGCCCAGGCTCCTACCAGCTATTTCACTAATCCTCCTCTGTGTCAGAAGGGAGTCATCAAAATAAAAGGCTCTCAAAGCTCAGGCTGAAAGAGCATCCCAGATTTTCTACTGGGAGCATCCAGTGGGTCAAAACAAAATGAAAAGTTGCTGCTGTGCTGTTCTTTACGTGGAGGTGTAACTCAGGAGGAGAGGAATCTACCCTGTGTAAGAGGAAATGCAGGCAGCAGGAAGGGGTTAGTGAGCCCAAGGCATCCACAGAGGAAAATGGGAAAGGTGTGCTCCAGTCACACACACACAGGCCAATCGTGCACCAAGCCTTGGACGTTTTGGTGCAGTGGGTCTGCCCATCTGAACTGTCTCCTCCTGCCATTGTGACAACTAATGTCATATGTACATTTTAGGCTCATCAAGTGAAACGACACACGCTCACCACCCCCTGCACCCTCACCTGATCCAGGAGAACCTGGGAACAAATGTCATTGTGGCCAACACAATGCCTCCTCAGATGCACAACGGCCAGATGTGTGAGTATTGCCAGAGACAGAGAGCTCCCAGGAGAAACCAAGAGCCTGTGGAGATAGCTTCTGCCTCTCGAGGAAACCTCCATGCAAGACAGTCTCTGATAATGAGTGTGAGACATTCCTATGTAGAAAGGAGGGCAAGACAAACAGAGAGGTGGGTTAGATTAGATTAGGCTAGAATAACTGATTCAACAAGATGTCCCCTGGCAGACTGTAACTTCTACATAGCCCTTAAGGGATGAGTGATCCCATCAAGCACCTACTGACATCAGTGGGAGGTTCCTCTTCTGTTGAATGGTTCAGGCACACCTCACTTTGCTTTACTCCCTGTAAAACCACAGGAGATTCTGGGCCACCACACAGGGACACCACTTAGGAGTTTAGGATGCGATGATCTCAGCTGATCAAAAAAGTGGCCCATACAGGTCAAAATGCCAGCAGCTCCCCTCACTCAGTGGTCATGATTGTGGTTCTCCCAGGGAATGGAGGTGTGTCTGTGTGCCCAGGCCGCCTTGCAGCAACCACACAAGCTGTCAGGAGCTGTGGTCTTACTACAGAGCCTCTGCCTTGCATACATCTGGACCTTGCCCGACTGAGGACAGACCCCAGTGCTGCCAGGTCCATGAGGCTCTCTTCTAACTTTGTTTCTCTCTCTGTAGCTACTCCAGAAACTCCACAGCCATCTCCACCCGCGGGCTCAGGACCAGAGCAATACAAGCTGCTGCCCGGAGCCATCGCAACCGTGGCAAAACAGCCCACCTCCATCCCACAGCCTGCCATCACCAAACAGGAGGTCATCTAGCAGCCTGCAGGCACACTGGCCTCCTTTCGAAGGCCGTGGGGGAGAAAAGCCCAAATGGACTCTGTCACTGTGAAAAGAGAAGCCATCCAGAGGTCTTTGGATGCCAACACAAGGACTTGCTTATTGGACTAGTCCACCACCACCAAAAGCTGTCTTCCTGCAGCTACGGACAGCATGTGCCACGGGCAGCCCCAAGTCCCAGATCTAAGGTCGGAGCCTTACCAAAACGCTCAGCCCCTGTAAGAAGGGCCAGACTTCTGCCTCTCTCCGTGGGGAGGCTGCAGCGACTGGCTGGAGACAGTGCAGCTGGCTCTTCCCCCACTGCCCCCCCCAGCGCCGGCTGGGCGCACACCAGGCCCTGAACAAGCCTTCGCTGTTCCGCCGGTGGGCTTCCCTCCCACAGCCACGCCAGCTCCCCAGGCAGCCCCCAGGCCAGCCAAGCTTGATGGAGATGGACACTCTCCCAGAAGCACTGCAGCAGGTGAAACACACCAGTTTTGCCCAGGCAGCCAAGGCAGAACTGCTCCTCAGCCTTGGCCAGTCCCAGGTCCTTGCACAGAGTCACCCTCCAGCACACAAACGCCCCCTAAGCCAGGTCTAACCAATCTTTTCAGCTGACACTGGGGCAAAGTCTGGCCCAGCAGGATTCTCCACTATTCAGATGCTTCTGCCTTTTGAGGTGTTTTGTTACTGCCATGCCAAGTTTGCCTTCCCACCACATGGCTCAGGAAGGCCACCACTGCCAGACCCATCCCTTACACCACTTACTGCCTACCAACCATGGATTCAGGAGATTTCAGCTAACAGCATGGGGTCAGTGTACAGGCTGGCCAGGGTCAGCACTGCCCAAAATATCACTGGTCCCACTACCAATGGATGCCTATTTGGAAGGAAGTGGAGGGAGGATGTATGAAGAGGAGACCTGTGGGGGTGAGAAGAGCCCAAGCCTCACAGATTGGACCAAGCTCTTGGGCAGCCCAAGTGCTGGGAGCATCGTGACCCAGGATCTCAGTTCAGACCCAGCTTTAATGCTAAGATATGCCATAAAATCTCCTTGTCCTGTCCAGTGCCACTCCTTTAGCTTAGAGTGAGTGGACAATAACACATTTATAGGTTTTCATAATGTGCTAAGAATTCATTATGGCTCCTTCAGGCCTCAGAGGGTTGAAAGGCAGCAACCTCAAAACCACAATGCTTTGAGTCCTGCAAAGAACGACAGAAGTCAAGGAAAGAGCCTGTCTTGCCCAAGCCCCCTGGGTCTGCCCCAGCCTTGGGTCTGCCCCCACCTGCCCTAGTTGCTGCCTCTCCATGACTGCTGTGCCCAACCCTGCAGATCTGACCTTTGGTTTAGAGCTGCCAGGAGGCAGGAGCCCCCTGTGCCCGGAGCTTGCCTGACAGAGGCCCCAGGGCTGGAGCTGGCAGAGCCCTGCACCACCTCAGCCCTCAGAGCTGGGAGAGCCCTGCACCACCTCAGCCCTCAGAGCTGGCAGAGCCCTGCACCACTCAGCCCTCAGAGCTGGCAGAGCCCTGCACCACCTCAGCCCTCAGAGCTGGCAGAGCCCTGCACCACTCAGCCCTCCCTCAATTCTAACAGTGCAAGGCAACAGCAGCTCTAGGCACCCAGGGACTTTGTGGGGTGCTGGCTTCTCAGCAGGACGAAGCACTGGGACCAGGGCTGCCACCAGGCCCCTGCTGGGCATCAAGCTGAGCCAGCCTAGCCAGAGGAGCTGCAGGTCTGGCCCTTCATTTCCAAAGCAGAAAGGAAACACTTGGCCTTGGGCTGACGGTGTCAGAAGTATTGTGTCACCCTCAGTGCCAGCAGCATCGTACCCAGTAATTTATTGCAATGAGGAATCCAATCATTTTCTGTAAATTATTTTGTAAATCACATTGATTGTTTATAATTGGGAGATTAAGTGCAAAACCCCCATAACAACCAGGCTGTCTTTTCCAACTGCAGCAATCTCTTTCCTGTACGTAGACATGCTCTGTGGGGAATCCTTTTTGGTCCATTTGCACCAAGCATTCCTCAAGATTGTACATTAATTTTTGCTGGTTACTGCCTTCCAATGGAAATAGAGGAATATTTCTTCACTGGAGTTTGTATTCATAAAAAAAAGAAATAAATGCAAAAATATTTTCTAACTTTTCCCAGACAGATGGGTTTCTTTCTTCTGGAAGGATTTATTTCAAATCAAGGGTGTCACCCCCCTGTTGGTCAGAGCACAAAGCGTGTATGCACTGAGGAAAAAGCCCAAGCGAGTGTTTGATGCTGCTGCCAGCTTGTCACTATTTCCTGGCAAGCCTCATGTTAGCTGGTGTCTGTCCTGAAGCCACATGTGCTGCAATCATAAGATTGAATGATAGCCCCAATTTTCATTAAAAGAAAAACAAATATGAAGAATAAATATTTGCTTTCAAGATTCCAAGGAGCTTAAAGACCTGAAGTAACCACACTCTGACAGCCAAGCAAAGGAAGCCAAAATACATTATTAACATTTTGAACATGCTCGTTTTTAAGTCCCTCTTGTATTTCAGAGGTAATTTCTGATCACCCTGGGGTGTTGATTCTGCCTTGGTTCACACACAGCCAACCTACTGCTGGCAGCAGGTGCAGCCAAAGGCAGAGTGAGCCTGCAGGGCACAGTAGGATGATAAAGTGAAAGTCAATTTGTCACTGGTTGTAAAGGTGAAGAAATACACTGACAATCAGAGGAGGCTCTTAATGACCTGCTCTCCTGATCACGGGAGCCTGCTCTCAGCTGTAGCATGCCCAGGAAGATAATGGGAAGAGGGCAGAAAGGTCTAGATGGCTGTAAAGATTAGGTATCCGGGGAGGAACAACATCCAGCATTTTCAGCTCTGATCTGTAGTGATGCCCCTCATGCTCCCCATCTCCCACCCCTGACATGAAATGAGGTGGGCAGTCTCACCCAGGTACAAGAGATGAGAAGCAACCCAATTTTCCACCCCACTTGCACATCCAGTGGCCTCCCAGTGACAGTCATGCTGGTGAAAACTGGCAGCAGGGCTGAGAGCAGGATGAGATACAGGGATGAGATTCAGACTGCACTCGAGGACCATGTGGAGACAGCACTTGGAGCCTGTCTCCACTCTGGGGCCAGGGACCCGAGAGAACAGGACAGTCCTCAAAGAACATGTCCTCAATATCTGTGCACCCGTGATGGTCCCCAGCCCTGACACCAGCACTGAATGCTGGAGCAATGTCAGCAGCAGGACGTGTTATCTCAGCACACACACAACGACTGAGGGATTAGCCCAGTCAAGAGCAGGAGAAGGAGTTAGTTCCTTCTTTTTAATGTGAAATAAACCCCAGGACTCCTCTGCCTGCCACAGGAACCCTTGTGACTCACGGTTGGTTTTTCCAGGGTGTATGCCCTAAAAACTCCACATATGCAATATCAAATCTTTGAAGCAATAAATTCCCCTGGATTCCTTCCCATGAACTGCTCTATCAAGGTTGCCCTTTACCTGGTTAATCTTAAATCAAATCAGTGCAGTCCCTACAGGAGATTTCTTATTACTGGATTCAGCTCACCTGGAAAAAAAAGAAACAAAACACACACACTGCCCCAGAGACAATCTTGTCCTTAACTGGCATCCTCAATCCCATCCTTACTTTTTTGGCACTCCAGCCTGAAATCACCCTGAAACACTGATCTTGCCACTCATGGGCCGTGTTTTATCCTGCTGGGCTCCCTGGAGCCTGCAGGCAATGTCCCGTGTCACAGGAGATGGCTCCTGCAATGACAGTTAGTATTGGCCTTGAAGGCACAACATCCTTACATTGGTTTTGGACACAAGAGCTTTTTACTGTCCTCTTCTGTGCTTGCAACCCAGACTAAGGATGATTTCCTGGAAAGCGGTATCTCCAGCTGCAAAACCTTTTCACAAGGTCCAAGCAAAGATCTGTGAAAGTGGTATTTTTAGGTCCTCTGGTCACTATGAAATGCATTCTTTTCATACTCCTTATATAACCTTCATCTGAAATAGCCAACAGGCTTTGGAGCCTTTTCCACAGTTTCTGTATCTTATTGGGAGGAAAAAGAAAAAACACAGGCTAGCAAATGAGTTTTATGGCCTGCATATCTCCTCTGAAAAAAGCAACTATTGCTGCTATTAAACTTCCAGGTGCCCACAGAGGCACAGATACTCATGGACAACACGAGGCAACGTGGCACTGCTGAGCCAGGCAGTGCTGTGTGCCAGCCTGGCCAGTTCCCTCAAGGCTGAGCACACGTATCACCAGCCAGACTGGGAATTCAAGCACAACCCCAATCCACAAAAGAGAGGCTGGAGGAGGAAGGGTAAGGTGTGGGTATGTTTCAAATCCCTCTCCCCATTCCTAATTGGGGTGTGACCCTGATAATCATAAACACACCTAGCACCTGAAAAATTGCCAGCCAGGCCAATAAAAATGGCAATATAGTGTCAGCTTCGTTAGGTGTGGGGCGAGCAGGGGAGCTTGGCACAAACAAGACTGCAGTCACGTCCTCCAGCTCAGCACCCTGTGTGAGAGAGAAGAGGCTGCTGGGGTCCACACAGCACTCCTGGTTCAAACCCAGGGGGAGAGGAGCTACGAGTATAGCCTGGGTCCTGGGAAGGAAGGTTCTTTGGGAGCTGTATTTCCAAGGCTTCCTCTGGCTTTGGACCTGGAGTGGCACCAGGCTTGCCTGATCATGGCTGCTTCATCAGCTTTCAGAGGCCTGAGGCCTTCCCTAACTTGGGAGATGAGTCACAGAAGAAGATATGGGTTACAGAGACCACTGGGCCGTGCGGGCCATGCTCCACTTCAGTCCCTCACGTCTGGCAGCTCTGCCTGCCTGGGACCTGCAGCCCCTTGGGACCCCACGGGCACACGGAGACCAGAGGGCCCTTCTGAGCCTGGGCCATCCCACACCCCATGGTTCTGGGCTGGGGAGCTGCTGTGACACCCCACCTCCTCCTGGAAACTGCTGTGGGTGCCAGAAACGGGGCAAGAGCTGCCCGAGGGACGCACCTGGATGGAGACCCACAGCAGAAAGCACCATCAGTGGGAGAGGAATCCCTCACGGCAGGGGCCAGCCCGGGTGTCAGCACTGGCCAGGACACCACGTGTTTCCCCTCACTGCCCGGGAAACCGTTACAATAAAGTAACTCAACAACCACTTCTCTGCTCCCCAGGACTCGCCAAACCTCACTGAGCCCCAAAACCAGCCGCTAGAGAACCCTGCAATGGGTCAGCACCACCACCAACCATGGGCAGGGAGCACTCTGGCTCATGCGCTCCCTGGGATCCACTCAGGGCTCATCTCCAGAGGATACAAAGCCTTAAAGGATCACCCAAAGAGACGTGGATGTCCCCAG